CATCAATAATAAATTCATGACTCACCAACAATAAATTCGAGATTCACCAACAATAAATTCGAGTTCCAACATCAATAAATTCGCGATTCATCAATAATAAATTCATGACTCACCAACAATAAATTCGAGATTCACCAACAATAAATTCGAGTTCCAACATCAATAAATTCGTGATTCATCAACAATAAATTCGAGTTCCAACATCAATAAATTCGTGATTCATCAACAATAAATTCGAGTTCCAACATCAATAAATTCGTGATTCAACATCAATAAATTCGTGATTCATCAACAATAAATTCGTGACTCATAAACAATAAATTCGTGATTCACCAACAATAAATTCGTGATTCACCAACAATAAATTCGTGACTCATAAACAATAAATTCGTGATTTACCATCAATAAATTCGTGATTCATCAACAATAAATTCGAGTTCCAACATCAATAAATTCGCGATTCATCAACAATAAATTCGTGATTCACCAACAATAAATTCGTGATTCATCAACAATAAATTCGAGTTCCAACATCAATAAATTCGTGATTCAACATCAATAAATTCGTGATTCATCAACAATAAATTCGTGACTCATAAACAATAAATTCGTGATTCACCAACAATAAATTCGCGATTCATCAACACGTGATATTCGATTGAACGAACACTGATTGCAATTCAACAGGGAAACAGGGCGGAAATTAAGAAAAAAAAAAAATTTATAAAAGTATTTCAGCCAACACCTAATTGTTTAAAATGTAAACACTTTTTTCCTTTCAATTTTTATTTCAATTAGTGATTGAACACAGTCCGTGACGTCATATTTATAACTTATTATTAATGTCTGAAGAGGTCACCTTAGTTGAAAGAGGTTGAATTAATAAAGTATATACTTACCTTTATCTTGCGTCTCACCACCAGAGGAATCACCTAGGGTCCACGGGGACTGTCTCGTGGGGCTATTAGACACGCCGTTGTCCGAAGATCGCTGGTCAGTGTCTTCACATTGCACGACAGCGTCAAAACTGTTCTTCCCACAGTTTACTACCAATCTGTCAGCATCAACTGGAACGCCTCTTTTCGCATTCTGATTGGTTGGAGTTTTCGAACCTTAAAAAAAATGAGGCCTCTTTGAGAAATACTTCCTTTGTATCACGATGAAAGATTTTTTTTTTCAACTACATATATAAATGGAGCACGCATGTGTTATACGCGGCGTTAAGAAAAAAAACGATCCCTCTCTTATCAGAGTCGTTCCTGGTTTAACTTTGTTTGTTGTGATGACTTTGCTTCCTCCTGACTACACTGGATTTGGGATCTTGATTAATCATTACCCATTGTAACGTTAGACGGGGATAACAACAAAAAAAAGTTTTGGGTAAGATCGGTAGTGTGAGGTACCCCCCCCCCCTCCTCTTTTGAGTCACCCTGAAAAACACACGAGACTGAACTTCAAGCAAACGGGCTACATAGTTGTAGCTCTTAATTTCTACGGTCGAGGAATCAGTGCGTGAGCATCATGTAGTCTCTGAGGACAGCACCAGAGGGCGTGCTATTGTCAATCATCTGAAATTATTGCAGTTATTACACGGTTTGCAATAGGTGAGTAAGCTGGTTTACAGAAAACATAATTATTTTAGTGCCACTCTGATATACGCATAACTATGAATTTAAATTGCCTCAATCAGTAACGCTTTCTTAAAATAACCTTTTTTTTATATTATTATTAAACCAAATAAACCACGATGATTTCCTGCAGACATCTTGCTGACTTACAACTGAAAATTCTGTACAACTGTGACGAAAATTCCAACAAGGAATTTTGTGGGTTGGAAACTTGTTAAGAGAGCTATTCCTTTATGGAGTCGAGAAAATGTAAAACAACATACAGAAAAAAATATGTGTAGACTTCGAGTGTTTTCCTGTCTTGGAGAATTTTAATACAAAACTATTCTACATATTCCATTATATATATATCAGCCCAAATTTTAATGAGGTTCCTGGTACGTACTTTGAAATTGTGGCTTGAATATCAGACAGCTCTCAATTAAAGGGGGACAGAATGTTTGTCAATAATACAAAAAATTCTCAACTTTTCTTGATGTTATAACGGGTTTGCAGATGTTAAATTTAAAGCATGAACACTGGAAAAAAACAACAGAGATCGGATCATATGTATTAATAAAAATAATACACCATTTAAACCACAGTTATAGTTATACAAATTATTTTTATTAATTAAAGATACGTAGGTACATTATACGTATGTAAGCACACAGAGACAGGGATTCATTTTGTTTATCATACACTCAATAACATCTCGACTTTATCAAGTCCAATATTCCCATTTCTTGGTGTTAAGGTAGTCTGAAGATTTATCAACTTGAGCGTATGATTATATGGGGGAAAGTATGTCTATATGAAGAAATCGGCTTTACAACCAATTTCGTCATACTCTCGTGCCTAATTTCGTGCTGTTAGCAACTGAATTACTGTCGTTACACACATTAACTGATATTTAGATGAACCGACTTAGAGAGATTAGGAAGTTTCAAAGTTGGCGGTGCTTAGCGTTCTGAGACTTTCCTGAAGCGGGAATTAAAAGTGGGCGGTGGTTAGCATTCTGAGACTTTCCTGAAGCGGGAATTAAAAGTGGGCGGTGCTTAGCATTCTCCGAAGTTTCGGTATTAGTAATATTGAGTGTTGATGTTAACGAAGATCGTTTATATTTTGCTGTAGCACTAATATCCAAAGGCAACTTTACCTTCAGCATAATCACATATATAAAATAATTAATCAATTAGACAGAAAATACTCACTGTTATTATCATATGTCTACAGGGAATTAAGTGATACACGAAGCATCTTCATTGTTATCGCTACAAAGGTTACGTGATACTTAGCACCTCCATTGTTATCGCTACAAAAGTTACGTAATACTTAGCACCTCCATTGCTATCGCTACAAAAGTTACGTAATACTTAGCACCTCCATTGTTATCACTACAAAGGTTACGTGATACTTAGCACCTCCATTGTTATCGCCACAAAAGTTACGTAATACTTAGTACCTTCATTGTTATCGCCACAAAAGTTACGTAATACTTAGCATCTCCATTGTTATCGCTACAAAAGTTACGTAATACTTAGCACCTCCATTGTTATCGCTACAAAGGTTACGTGATACTTAGCACCTCTATTGTTATCGCTACAAAAGTTACGTAATACTTAGCACCTCCATTGTTATCGCTACAAAAGTTACGTAATACTTAATACCTCCATTGTTATCGCTACAAAAGTTACGTAATACTTAGAACTTTCATTGTTATCGCTACAAAGGTTACGTGATACTTAGCATCTCCATTGTTATCACTACAAAGGTTACGTGATACTTAGCACTTCCATTGTTATCGCTACAAAAGTTACGTAATACTTAGAACTTTCATTGTTATCGCTACAAGAGATAATTAATACTTAGAACGTTCACTGTTATAGGAAAACAAAGAATTTCTTGACATATTTAACAGTTCCATTATTATATCTACACAGAACTACGTCATATAATTAGTATCTTCATTGTTATGGCTACAAGACTTTAACATCTAGTTTATTCCTATACATACATCTGTACATCACTAAAAGGAAACTACTATACCTAGAACTACACAGAAAACTTACAATCATTAAAGTATGTTTCACACTGTAAAAACTACACAGAAAACTTACAATCATTAAAGTATGTTTCACACTGTAAAAACTACTCAGAAAACTTACAATTACTGAACAATGTTTGACATTGTAAAAACTACTCAGAAAACTTACAATCATTAAAGTATGTTTCACACTGTAAAACTACTCAGAAAACTTACAATCATTAAAGTATGTTTCACACTGTAAAAACTACTCAGAAAACTTACAATCATTAAAGTATGTTTCACACTGTAAAAACTACTCAGAAAACTTACAATTACTGAACAATGTTTCACGTTGTAAAAACTACTCAGAAACTTACAATTACTGAACAATGTTTTACATTGTAAAAACTACTCAGAAAACTTACAATTAATGAACAATGTTTGACATTGTAAAAACTACTCAGAAAACTTACAATTAATGAACAATGTTTCACATTGTAAAAACTACTCAGAAAACTTACAATTATTGAACCATGTTTCACATTGTAAAAACTACTCAGAAAACTTACAATTACTGAACCATGTTGAACATTCTAAAAACTAATCAGAAAACTTACAATTAATGAACAATGTTTCACATTGTAAAAACTACTCAGAAAACTTACAATTAATGAACCATGTTGAACATTGTAAAAACTACTCAGAAAACTTACAATTAATGAACAATGTTTCACATTGTAAAAACTACTCAGAAAACTTACAATTACTGAACAATGTTGAACATTGTAAAAACTACTCAGAAAACTTACAATTACTGAACCATGTTGAACATTCTAAAAACTAATCAGAAAACTTACAATTAATGAACAATGTTTCACATTGTAAAAACTACTCAGAAAACTTACAATTACTGAACAATGTTTCACATTGTAAAAACTACTCAGAGAACATACCATCACCATTGCAATACATCTAAAACTGTACAGAAAACTTACCATCATTAGTGTACATCTAAAACTATACAAACTACTCAGAAAACTTACCATCATTAGTGTACATCTAAAACTATACAAACTACTCAGAAAACTTATCATCATAGTTGTTATAAATTTGTGGTAGTTAGTTTGTTTTGTTAAAACGTATGCAGCTAGTAGATTACTTGCTGTTATGTCAAACTTATCGGAATGTCACACAATAACTCTCTTATTGTAAACTACGATAAGAATACAGAAACATATTACTTTCTTACAACATTCAAAGTAAAAGTCTTTGTTGTTTCTTGAGGGGAACATCTAGAAGAAAACAACAACAATAACAACATTCAAAGTAAAGGTCTTTGTTGTTTTTTGAGGGGAACCTCCAGAAGAAAACAACAACAATAACAACATTCAAAGTAAAGGTCTTTTGTTGTTTCTTGAGGGGAACCTCTGGAAGAAAACAACAACATTCAAAGTAAAATTCTTTGTTGTTTCTTGAGGGTAACCTCTAGAAGAAAACAATAACAACATTCAAAGTAAAGGTCTTTGTTGTTTCTTGAGGGGAATTTCCAAAGGAAAACAACAAAAACATTCAAAGTATTTGTTTGTTTGTTTTTGAATTTCGTGCAAAGCTACACGAGGGCTATCTGCGCTAGCCGTCCCTAATTTAGCAGTGTAAGACTAGAGGGAAGGCAGCTAGTCATCACCACCCACCGCCAACTCTTGGGCTACCCTTTTACCAACGAATAGTGGGATTGAGCGTCACATTATAACGCCCACACGGCTGAAAGGGCCAGCCGGTTGGACGGGGATTCGAACCCGCGACCCTCAAATTGCGAGTCGAGCTCCTTATCCACCTGGCCATTCAAACTAAAGGTCTTGAGGTGAACAGAATGATGACCTATGTAAAGGATTTGGTGTAAAATTTATTGTTCATGATGTCAATCTCAGACAGATTACCAGAGCAACAACCCGACTTAAGAAATTGTTTGCGTGATTTTCTAACACATCGTATTCAACAAACCTAAGTTTTTAGACACGAGGAAACGAAGAAAACGTGTTCTTGAATAAGCTTGTAAGTTTTTTAAGCAACGCTTTTTTTACAGAGGGAAGTAAATTTTTATTTTAAAAGTTGTTTGAAATATTTCATTGGCATAAAAATCCTCCAATGAGTAAAAAACAAAACAAAAATACTGTAATAAGCCCATTATAAAAGTATTAACTCTATAGTTTCAGTTATTTTCCACGTGGTTAGGAAGTCTGGAAATAAAACAAAACCTAAACTAAAACTGTCATTCCCACGTTAACCATAAGCCATGCAATGAACTTTAGAAAAACGAAAAAAGTGATACATGAGCAATCGTCACTTCAGACCGGCTAAATATATATGGGAATAAAAGTTCGGTCGTTCAACTTTAGGGTAATTTTGCCAATGTGACGACCTGGTTCGAAATGGAGGGAGGGTTTGTCCTTGTACAGCCACGAAGGACAACGATTGG